GATGTTTGCATTCACATCTGATGTCGGGCCCTGTGCTGTATCTCCCCACAAGAACTTCAAACTCGAGGAAACAGCACAGACTTTATAGGCAGTTAAGCACAACTTCTGCTCCAACCCTGTCGTCCTATATTCACCCACCCTCTGCTGCAGACCATATGAGAGGACGACAAAGGTCTCACTCGTACAGTCATAAGGCTTCTTAAGGCCTGCCTGTCTGCAAGCTGCTCAATCTTTCTGCAGGAGCAGAGAACAAATAAACCACAGAGGGTGATGAGCTTCGAGGATCAGGCAGTCAGTGCAGCTGAGTTTAAGATGTGTGTTTAAGGGCTCTGGTTGGCAGCGCTAACTGAGCTCTTAGCATGAGGGCTCTGGTTTATTTTCACTGAGAGAGTATCACTGAAGGAATGACCTTGGCCCGTTAATAATACAGCCAGTGTGCGTGTGCATTTGTGTGTTTGTCACACATGCACTTTCTACACACACACACACACACACACACACACACACACACACACACACACACACAGACAAACCCCTACACAAGAGCACATGAACACACACCTCAGTTTGTAGAGCGAGAGGTTCAGCTGCAGTCCCTGTCGTTGTGCCCTTAGCTCTCACTCTGGTGGTACCAGCAGAGGTCCAAATGTGTTTTTAAGGCCAGTAATAATAGCTTTGCAATACAGCTGCCATAATAATAATATAATGATATAAGAGTAACAGCAGATTATTAATGCTGAAATCCAAATAAACAATTTTTGCAATCAGTTCAGATTGAGGGCTCCCCCTTCACACTTGGCCTGAATGTGTCTGTGGTGTTGGCGCACAAACAGTCTGTTACCAAGGCGAGCTACCATTCACACTCTTTCTGTCCGAATTGTTGTGTCTCACTTTTGAGTTTCATCCAGTACACAAAAAGCCACCGAATGTATATTGTTTTCTCTGTCAGTATTTGCAGTTTCCCAATTAAAAAACTGAATGCGAGCAAGGAAATTAAATATAATCATAAATGATAACTCTATATGCATTTCAGACACATTTAACACACTAATGTGAACTGCTGTTTGTCTCAGATACAGCCAGGGTAGTAACAATGATGAATTCCACAACAAATATTTCATTTAAATAAACTAATATCTATTGTATTATAGTTGAACTACACTGACAAGTCAATATTTTCTTTTAATTTGACAGGCTAGTGTTCAGTTCACTCACCTTCAGTGTTTTTCATTTATTCAAGCAGTGAGTGATGTGAAACAGAGGAGAGGAACAAGTCATGTCGGTGGCTACATGTGTGGCTTGGCAGACCTATTGCTCAGATTTCAACAAACAATTTCATTGGTCTGTCTAACCTTAGCCCCTGGCTAAAGGCTTGGAAAGACTGCATGCTGTAAGAGCTCAGCTCGACTTTTGGATACCTGCAGAACTCCTCAATAAAGATAGATTCAGCCTGAAATAGTATCTGCAAAATCTGATTTGCTTTTCAGAAGCTTCTCACCGCCTTTTCCTGCTGCTACAAAATACCTTTGTACATAATATTCTGTTATCTTCATGCGCTTGAGCATAAACAATCCCACAGAACATCCTTCTTAACTGCCTGAATACACGCACTCATTACGAAATGGGAAAAGATAACCTTCTCGCTGTGACCTCCACACATATCTTCCTCTTTTTTGTTTGTAAACAAATTACTGAGCTTTGTACATCTGTGTGTGTGTGTGTGTGTGTGTGTGTGTGTGTGTGTGTGTGTGTGTGTGTGTGTGTGTGTGTGTGTGTGTGTGTGTGTGAGTGTTTGTTTGTGTGTGAGAGAGAGAGATAGAAAAGTGGAGCGAGAGAGAGAGAATGAGCTGATGTCAGGACGGCCTCCAGTCCGCTGAACTCTCTGCGGGGGGACTCCTCTAATGAAGAGCTCTGACTCAGTCACTGATTATGGCCCAGTGCAACATGGGGGCAAAAGGTCAAATACATTCACACATTTCTTTGACACCCCCCCCCCACTGGGGCAATTAGCCCACTGAGAACAAAGCGTGGATACAATGAGCTGGGTCCATCAGGGGGCATTCATTAACTGTAATGATGTTATTGTTGGCCAAAAGAGCGACGGATCACACTCGAGGTATCCAAGTCATCCTCTTTCCTCAGGCCTTCATGCACACACACTGCAGGCCTTGTAGTTAACAGACACTGTCACAGGAGATGCAGAAGAAAAGAAGGGTCTTGCAGGATTTTAAATTTGTTGTTGCAAGACAGAGAGAAAGTGTGTAAGAGGTGTGTGTGTGGGGGGGGGACAGTTGTCCTTGTGCCAAAGCCGGCTTAATGCTTCATACAATAGCTCGAGTGTGGGTGAGGGGATCTTGGCGCTTGAATGTTCTTTACTCTAGAGGGAGAAGAGGTGCCGTTAGGGGCGAGAGCTAGATTTCCTATCCAGAGCCTCTTTTGTAATTGAATGCAGCCATCTACATGAGCCGAGCTCGAGAGAAAACGTCCCCGGCATGTGCGTGTATACACACACTCACACACACACACACACACACACACACACACACACACACACACACACACACACCTCTCTTTGTCTCCGTAGTCTTCCCCATGTGGACTGAAGTGCTCTACAGACGAGTGAAGAGCAGATCAAAGTGTGTGTTCTCCTCTTCTGCTCGAGGTTTATACCGTTATCAAAATGTGGAAGAGTTTTCTGCAATCTAGAGCGCATGCCATAACATTTCAGTCTCAGGTCTTACATGGTTTAAATCCATCTACACTTGTAATCCTCTGAGAAATACCCAGAACCGAAAACAGTGAAATCATGAGCACAGAGGTTGAGGAGGGGGAATTATTCGAGCGGTCTCAATTTACCTTAAACCATGTGTTCTGTGTACTTTTCATACTCCTCCTTTGCCCTCTCTCTCTCCCCTCTTTGGGTAATAACTAAATCCGTTATGCTTTCCTGTCTTAAGTTCCCAAACGTTTATTTTTCTTCGTGACAATAAGCTCTCCATTTTCCTTTCCTGGATCTGCAGTGGATGGAGACAGATCATGACATGTGAGGTTACAAAAAGTGAGGCTGTTTAGGAAGAAAACTGTTCTCCTGCTGCAGGTGCTATTTCATGGCTTCTTTCAGGATAGCACTTGACGTTGACTGTGGCTGCCCGCCACTGAACGGCAAAGACGTGCTTCCCGGTGGCTAATGAGGTGCTGAACCCGGCCTCTTGTTTGTATCAGGAGCACCTGGGCCGACCAGAGCCAGACCAGACCAGACAAAGGAGTCAGTCTAGCATTTCCACAACGGTCTGCCCATTCAAAACATCCAGAACCCAGGGACACAAACTCCCACACTTCATAAAATGAAGGCAAGACAGAATGCGAGCCGAGACTACCCATTCTCTCTGCACAAGGAAACTATTGTTTGTGTTAACACGCCCTCTCTCCCAGGCTTTGCGATTTTATACTCCATAAAGAAACAAGGCAAAAGGAAAGCAACTTGGCAAAGACACAGCATGCGCACTGTTTGTCTCTTGGAAATGTAACAGAGACAAAAGCTGTAACTCTCTCTGGAGATTTCCATTTCTGTCCTCTCTACACCCCATCAACTTTTTGTCAGCTGTCTCTGGCTGAGGGTAAGAAGCTCACCTGGAGGATAGCAACCCACAGAAACAACACAGAGGCAATCTCTGGTGTCTCCCACAGTGAAACAACTTCACACAATCCATAGCACAGTCTGTGTAACCTCCATATTATTGGACTGATGCCATTACATTTAACTCAAAAGGACATATTGACACCTGCAGCCAATTAATGAATATTTGGAAGTTTTATCAGTTGAGAATCGGAAACAAACGTTCTTTCTTTTCCCTTTTTCTTTAGTTGTTTTTCTATTGTTGTCTGGCCAGATCCTCTGAATGCCTTCCACAGGTCATTGTGACAGCATCATGACAATATGAGCATGTAAACAGTTGATACAACCCTACTGCCAGACAGAACAGTAATATTGAACAATTCCTCATTTTGTATACAATGTCTGCACTTGGCATCTACAGTATAGTTAAGATTAAGAGAGAAATTATGGTTATGGTATAAAAAGTCAGTTGCATGTCTGTTACAGAGATGCTTCCCAACCTGAGGTCGCCAAAGCCTTATGTGGGGGACGCAAGGCCATTTTGATTTTAAGGGGTTTACGAAAACTATATAACAGTATTTGTTTCACTTTTGTAAGAAATGTAAATGTAAAGTAAAGTAAAATGTCTGATAGAGCAATGGCCAAGTGTCAGGGACAAGAAAACACTGAATTTGTCAAAAAAGAAGCCTGGTAAGTGTGTATGATTGCTAAAAAATCATAATACAGATGGAGAATTGTATAAAAACTCATCCAAACCTCTCCTTTTACTCTTCTACTAAGTGGTGGTCATCAGTTTACTAAATGATAGAAAAGGGGTCCTTTAAGGAAAAAGGTTACGCAACTCAAACGGCCCGATGCACTGCACACTCATTCACCATGGCAACCTTTCCCACTCTTGTTTACGGATCTTATCGCAAAGACTAGGGGAACCCCCGGTGTCCTGGCAGATTTCCCAACCTGGCTCTCTCCATCTGGCCACCAATCATCCCCCCAGCGTGATTGGCTCCATGTTTCGCTCCCTCTCCACCTCAAGTGTGATTAGCGTTTTGGCACAAAATGGCTGCCGTGGCTCCCAGATTGATGCTACACATTGGTGGTGGTTGAAGCGAGTTTCCCCTCTTTACTCAAGATAAAGCACTATGTAATCCATTATTATGTTTATGGTTATTATTACTAACAATGAATCCTCTCAGCGCTAATGTCAGCAGCATACAGCAACAAACGTTTTAACTGATTCTTCAAACAATTGAATAGATCTTTGTAAGAAGAAGAAGAATATTCCTGTATTGCGTATAATGGAAGTAGAAACCAAATCCAAATCTAAAGATTGCATTTTCATGATCAATAAGTCACTATGTTTCTGTCTCTTTATCTTCTGTTACAGAGGCAGGAAACCAGTTTGCAGCTCAAGAGGCACTAAGGAAACCATCCACGCTACGACGCCCACCTGCACGCACAGGAGAGCCAATCTCTAGTAAGAACTGTGAACATGCTAATACTTTTACTGTGCGACACAATGGCAAAGTTATAGCACACGTTTAAGTGTCACATTCCTGAAGGTAAAGAAAGCAATTTTCTGTTTTTCAGATTGTCTCAATTGTAGTCGGATCACGTCTTTGAGTGACAGACTGAGCTCGCTGGAGGCAAAGGTATGGACTGTACTCATTCAGACACAGTATCCAAATCACTGAGAAATATGTTGTGATTGTTTAATTGCCCACACTTGTTTTATGTCTTCCTGTACAAGGTCCAATTACTCAATGCCCCAGCCTCCGTATCACATCGCCACCTTCAGGGTAAAGGAGGAACTGCACCAGAGGCCTCATTACTGATGGGGGCTGTGCCCGCTCAGGGAGCTCCTGGTGAGCAGGGACCCACAGGTAGGTATATCATACTGTCATGCATGAATAAGTTTTAAGTTAAAAAATACTGCATGTTTCCATTAAATGGAGTCAAGGGTTCTGAGTTGTGATAATTGAGTCAGAAATCACTCTTTGCAGCTCCACAAGCTGCAACTCTTTTTCTGTCCTCTACCTGCTCACCTCATATCCTATTTCCTCCACTGCACATACACTCATTTCCTTTAGCAAAAGTAAGAGCCCAGTTGTCTGTGCTGCTCACTTTCAGCGTTCTGTGGCAGTGTGGAAAGCAAACACTACAGAGCATGAAAGTCCTCTCTCCTGGAGTCGAGCCCAGCACTGGCTGCAGCCAAAAGTTCACTAACCCTGTTGCACTGTCAGAAAAAGTTTAGTGTATCAGTTATATTAGAATGTGTTTCAGCTGGCAGTTTTATGTCTATAAAGCGTATTGTGGGATTGTTAGAAGGGTAAATAAGGTCCACAATATATAGTAGGAAATATTCAGACACAGCCAGTCGGTTTGTGGTGCTCATTGCTGTCTGATGTCTTTTACACCATGTGGCGCCAAAATCAGAAATGTTCAAATCTTACACATATAAGACTCGATAGACGCCGTTATTTGTATCATGACTGAACATAGCAGAACAGTTGTTATAAAATTATAGTGGGCAAATTGCTTTGAAAATGTGCTGAACACATTCAATCTACTCTCAGGATAAACCTTTTTGTGCACTCTGTGAGCTTCCTTCTAGTGCTACCCTCGGGTCAAAGTGCAAAGTATTACTAAATTTGCTGCCCTTATGATCCCAAGGAAATAAACCCATTAGATTTTTATCACTCCATTGCCTTTCCTCTAGCACAGATATATGTTATCTCTATGAATAACTTTTATTATAGTGAACATTGTTGCCCCTAGAGACAACTAGCAAAGCTTTAGTGGGTTCTTCATAATTAACAAAGAAAGCCTTCCTTAAATCACTATAGCCAGACTTCTGTGTTGAACTCATCACTATGGCTCAATTAACAGCAGCATTGGCCTGCTACAATTGAGCCATCATTTTCAAAATCCATTGGCTAAGTCAAAAATAATGAATTGGTCCTTTAAAAACTACCAATCTCTTGCTTTTCTTTCATTAATGAAAATGTATTTTGGAAGTGAAATTTAAATCAGGCCTAACGATGAAATAAACACAGTAATGAGAAGTGGTTTTGTTCTGTTACTTTGACAGAATTTCCAGGTGGTTTGAGCCCAGATTTTTTTCACATCTCAATTAAGCCACCTCTCTGTTTTCATTGCAGGTCCTCAGGGTGAAAAGGGGAGAGATGGGCTTCCTGGCAGAGATGGTAAATTGTAACCATAGTTGCCTTTCAGTTGATGTAAAACATTTAAGATGTAAACCAGTTAAGACTTTGTGATTACTCACGACTGTTTCCTCCTCTTAGGGAAGCCAGGTTCTCGAGGGCTGCCAGGTCCCACTGGGCCTCGGGGGGATATCGGTACAAGGGGCCCATCTGGATCCCCTGGATCGAAGGGATCCCAGGGACCTGCAGGTAAGAGAGGATTGAAAGTAGAAATACAGACAGCTCAGCTGTCAGCAGTTAGCAGACAGTTGTGAGCTGAGAGAAACAAATAAACCTTGTCTTAGTAGGTGTTAACAGTTTGTCAATAAGCATGTTGTAAAGATTTGTGTGTGTCATTGAGAGAAATTCAGGGCAGTTGTGTACTTGCCTGTCCACTTGACCTATTGTCTGTAGAACAAGACATTTGTATGGCTCAGTATTGACCAAAGACCAGTGGAAAAAACTGTGGAAAAAACAGGGAGATCTCCAACAAAAGCCTGACCCGTGATGTTTGTCTTTCTCTTAAACCACTGGGTCAACCACTAGTGGTAAATGTCGGAGCGTTCCAGCAGCCCATGAGTGGTAACTTACTGGAATTTGGGCATTTTGTTGGTTGGCTTTCAAAATGTTTCTATGTTTCAATGTTTCTAAAAGTGCTGTTGCAGTGGGCAGCAAAAGTATTTGTTTTCAGACGACATATAACATGTGTTGCTGCTCATGGTCACCGAACCAGAACAAACAGCGAATCATAAATCTACTCTGTGTATTCAGAGCTCACTGGTTATGTACAAATAATAAATGACCTGTTGGGGGAAATAGTAACTCCACAGGCATCTGTGACTTGAATGATAATAGAGTAAATGGCGGTGTAAGTGTGTCACAACATCTGCTCTCGCTATAGGCTGTTATTCCTCAACTCTGGATCATGAAGGGAGTGCCTCTCCTTTCAGGCAAACGTATGACCCCTGCTCTGTGCCTGCTGCTGGGTAAAGATGAGATTTAGAGCAAAAGTTAAACTACAAACCCACTTTCCGAGAAGCTCCATGTGACTTCAATCTGAAATGAACATGAGCTATATATACACAAATCCCAGGACCTTATGATTTCCATATGCCTGTGGTGTTATTGTTATCTCCATTACTTCACAAGTACCCAAAACCAGTGCTGGGTCTTGCATCCGAAACTATGTTTTCCTTATTGTGCTGATTTTTTTTTTCATTTTAAAGAGAAAGATAAACACAGGACTGGAATGTGTTCAATGTCACAGCAAAAAAGGAGACAAATATGTTTTTTAGCCAGAGATTATGTGGAAGATAGGAGGAAAGTGAACTTGTGATGTTAGGAGAAGGGATATTGTACATTATGATGAGTTCTAATAGGTTTCAGGAGAGTTGTATTGCAAACTTTGACTCATATTTTGACACAGTGTCCCCCGGCTGCTCCAGGGAACCATTATTCTGCAGGAAAAATGAATATTGTTTTCCCCAATATGTCAGATAGACTTTGAAGAGCCACTTTGAACCACTGTGCCGCAGATTGTAACTTATAGTCTCCCCAGTGCAGCCAAAACACAGCCGGTCATGCTGCAGTGTTTACCAAGGCTAAGTGAAAATGGCCCACAGAGGTGTCAAATAAAGGGCTGTAATAACATTACTTTGCAAAGCAGTAATTAGTGGACTGTCATTGTCAGTTGCCTCAGTACATAAACATAGAGGTGGTGAGCCTGGGTCTGTTTCAGGGCAAGAGGTGGTGTTCAGGGGGCAACATTACCTCAGGAGAGTCCAAACAATGAGGTCAGATGTAGTTGTGGTGGTGTTCTCTTTTTCCACCTTTATAAAAAATGTCTTGGGGAGGGAGGAGGGACACTTTCACTGACTGGCCCATGTGGACCTGCTACAGGCTGTTACTGATACACAGCTAGCGGTGAGTATGCAGGGAACATTTAATTTACTATGAACCAGTGCCAGTAATACTTTACAGAGTTTAATGGTGTTTATTTGAGCTTTCCAATGCCCTGGACCATTAAACACCCTCCTCCTGTTAATTACAGAGAAAGTTCATACACTTCACCTCCTCTGTCCAGCTGCTGATTTTATATCGCATGTGCACAGACACAGATATAAGGGCACACACACACACACACACACACACACACACACACACACACACACACACACACTCCTGCCAGACACTATTATGTTGTATCATTCAGCACTTTATCTAATCTATTTCCTCTCTGGTCTTTGTCATAGTTTAACCTCCTATCACCACTTCACCCACAGTCATTTATCATTATCCTCTCCAGAAGAAACTTTAAGATCATATTTTGCTATGACATACATACCACATGTCTGTCACCACAGTGATGTTTCTGTCCTCCCTCCTCTCAGGCCCCCGTGGTCCACCAGGACTCCCAGGAGAGAGGGGCCTACCAGGCCCGCCTGGCCCACCAGGGCCTCCAGCGCCGGCCAGTGCCCACATCCCAGAGCCAGACCACAGTAAGACCCTGGACTTTATCCAGTCACCATGAGTTCCACACCAAATAGTTAAAAGTAGTCTTTGTATTTGTAGTCTTAAAGGTCCAGTGTGTAACTGTAACTGTAACTTTAGTGGTTTTATCTACCACTAAATCCTATACACTGGTCCTTTAAACATTGTTTGATTCTTAAAAGGAAGAATCAATGCAACAGAAACAGTGATATATTTTTTATTTCACACATTCTTCTTCCTTGTCAAAACCTGGCACCCATGATGCAACACGACCTTCAGTCAGAGATGGTGGTGTGTTATGCTACTAGCAGCAAATGTAGATGAGGCACGGGCTGCAGAGGTCTTGGTACACTCACTCCTTTCAAATTCCACCCCAACAGATTTTTTTTTTCATTTTCAAACCTTCAGTCTTCAGCCCCGACTGATGCTGCCTCAAGTGATGTCACTTGAGGCAATTTATCAGACCGTGCAGCTCACTCTGGAGCCACAAAAGGCTCTCTACAACTTTATTCTATGTACAGTAGTATTCCCGAAGATCTGTATACAGACTTTCATATCTAAACTCAGCGCACTTCCCCTTTAATTGTTGTATGCAAAATCAGTTTTCCATGAACATCAGTGCATGTACATAAATTCAATCAAAGCCTTTGTTCTCAGGCAGGGTTGTTTTGTTTTACAGGCTTTTGGTTTGACTCAAGCAGCCTTGCAGACATGTTCTCTCCTGCAGCGTGAGAGCTCTCACAGGTTCTAGGACAAATGATAAACAAAAGAAACAATGAGAATGAAAAACAGACAGGATGGTGGTAATCCTTTAACTGCTACTTGCTCCTTATTGTCTGCCGGCCAAGTAGAACAGAATCAAAGAGTATTAAATGGAGGCAGAGACAGTCTGAGGTCAACACAGACTTCACATGCTGGGATGAGAACCTGTCCATCACTGATGTCACTCAACAACTTCCAGATGTAGGCTGCCGCACAGACAGCTGAGGGGGAGTGCGAGAGACAGATGGAGGCCTGCACCGGCTCTTTCAAGGTCAACACATCGGCAGATTTTATGTGTGGATTCAGTGGTAAAACAAAGAATGCAGCACACAGATTTGTAAAGCACTGGGTTCCTGTGTGGAGAAAGCTGTGGGTACATTGAGGTTGGCATGATGATTTCCGAGACTGTGAGCCATTTATTTCACATCAAAGAAACAGTAGGGGATGTAAGGGGAGGGGCAGGCGGGGGGTTGGGGGGCTCTGTGCTGAGCTTCCTTTGGAAAACACTGGCGTATTTGGCTTTTACATCTGCATCAGGAGGTTGGAATTCCCTTCTGCAGAACAGGAGAGGGTTCCTTAACCGGCAGCCAGAACGTGAAGTAGTGAAGAGGAGTGTGTTCTCAGTAGGAAATGAAGAGAGTGTGCAGAAGTAGACACAGAGAGAGCAGTCCTGTGTTTTGGATGTCACCTCTGTTAGCGGTGTGTAACATTCTGGCAGTTAGAGGATCCGGCTGCTCCTCCTTCTCCTCCTGATTTCCACAAGTCTCATGCTGTGATTGGATCCGTGTTTCCTGTCAGTATAAAATGACTCAATAACCGCACACTTCCTGTATCGCTTGCACGTTCACTACCCTGTTCCTCATGTCCGTCTGTGGACTAATTTAGTTGTAGATGTCCAGATCTTTGTTAGTTTGATGCAATATTACATAACTTTATTGTAATTAATGTGATACATTTATCAACCACTGACACTTTAGTGTAGTTTACTACCCTGTTGAAGTCATTAGGTAAAGTTTGAGTATTGGTTGGAAAACACTGCCCTCTGGAGGTTACGTTGGTGAAATGAAGAGGGCTTTCAGTGCCTGATTTGAGCTTCTCATGCAAAACCATCAGCAACCAAAACAAAAGTAAAATAAGACACACTGAGATGCTTAGAACAGTATTCTTCACTAGTTCATATAAGTGGGCACAACACATTTTGTCACAAACACATTTTGTCACAGTCTTCTCAGGGAGCATTTTCTCTCAGGCTACTTATGACTCATTCACTAAAACTGACCTAACCCTAAACATCTATAAATGTAACCACAATAGAACCATTTAATTGGTGGAGCTTGTTGGAAGTACAGCGTCACCTGAAGTACTACATGCCCACAGTACGAACCTGCATTTACAAAGAGAATAACATTCATGTTATGGCAGTGCACTTTAGATTTGATTGGAAATCATTTTTGAAGCCCATAACTAGAACCAGGTTTGAGTCCCATTAACCCCTTAAAGGCAAAATAAAATCAACAAGATAATTGATGAAGTAATACATACAATGCACTAATACATATGATCTCATACAGTAATAAAAACATGTTTGGATAATGAGACGATTTTCAGTAACGGAAATATATTTTTAGCAGCTTTGTTCCTGTTTGCAGAGTTTTTAGTCATTAGCCAGGAAAGTAGCTTCCATTAAACAAACACAATTTGTTTCAACTTCAGATCGTGGAAAAGACCCCTTCTTCACCAACACTTTCCATGATTCACGAGGGTTGCCTGTTCCAGGACCTGAGGGTCCCCCCGGGCCTATCGGTGAGTGTTTATCTCTATCCATACTGTGTTTACCTCTGTGAGTGACTGTGATTGTGGTGTGTTTTTGTAACTGTATCCCTACACTGAAGATTTCAAATGCTTTTACATGCAAAAGTACAGCAGATGCACACTGTTTGATACTGGATATATCTACTGTAAACGTTTCAACACACACCATTGTATTATTATTGTAAATAATATCAATTTCATTCAGCTGTCCCAATCAGAAGTTATTTGGTCTCTAATTAAAAAAAGATGTTGGTTCAGTTTTAGTGCAGAAATGCTTATTCTAAACCAGGTGACTAAACAAAACATTCCTCACAGTCCCATGTCCACACTGAAAGCTACTCTGAAGATATATAAAGTCATAAACACCTACAGGTGTTGTACATATGTAAGGTTGTAAAACCAGCACCACCTACTCCCAGAAGGTAATGGTACTTGGTGCTAATATTCATCTTTCTATCTATCATGCAGGCCCCCCAGGTCCCAAAGGCCCAGTAGGACCTCCTGGCCCATCAGGACAGAATGTAAGCTCGCTCACAGCATAGTGCTGCACTGCAGTCACTTACTGAGTTTATCACGGTCAGATTTGTTCAGATGATTGTCATTTTGAATTTCCTTTCTAACTCAATACAGGGGAAACCTGGAGTCCCTGGAACGCAGGGGCCTGTTGGGCCAAAGGGAGAACGTGGGGAGAGAGTGAGTACACTCAGAGCTTGATGATATTCAGTAGGTTTTTCTTCATTTACATCCAAACTCTCTGTGACATGCCTTTGGTTTTTTCAGGGTCCTTTAGGTTACCCAGGAGAGAGGGGCTTCAGAGGCGAGCCGGTAAGCCACCTCCACCCTACTGCCTTCAGGATTGTGGAGTAAACGAGTGTATGGGGGGAAACATCAACACATGTCATAGCTGGTTATATTACTGTAAACTACACTAACCAGCAGCACTACAAACAACACTAACCAGTGACAACGCAGTCTGCTCTTTCTGTTGAACTAAACTGCTGCAACGCTTTCATTAATGTTTTGAAGTTGGACTTATTTCTTTCTGTTAATCTTTCTTCACAGGGAACAACAGGTCCAAAGGGAGAGCCAGGAGAGAAGGGCTTGCCGGTAAGAAAGTAGTTGGTGGTAGTTCATAGTTCACACAGTGACACAGGGACTGGACAGGTTTGCTTTTAGTTTGAAGATTAAAAAAACATTTAAGATTCCTTTGATTAAATATTTTCTCTGTGTCTGTCTAACCCTTATTTTTCTTTTACCTCTTTCTCATTTTACAAGAGCAATCTAAATGTAAGATATTTTTATTTATGTCATCACATGTTCACTTTGCAATGCAATGAATCTATTCAGTAATCTAGTTAAAGTCTAACCATGACCCACATCTCAGGCTATGGTTATGATCTTTTTACAATCACCATGTTTATTGCTGTGATTGGCCACAAAGTGGCATTCAGCTGCATCTCTTTTTCTCTCCATACTTTCCTCCCCGTTGATGGTCATAAAGTGTCTGTTTTACATTGTTGTCTCTGTTTGAGTATATGTGATTTTAGCTGTTGATCTGTCTGATTTTCTGTGTGAAACCTTTTGGTGTTAATGTGTTTTTGTTTTTGTTGGTCCTTGGGGTGTGCTCTGGACTGCTGTCCCCTGTCACGACACTGTCCTCTTGACCCTAAAGCTGTCTGACTCCCTCTGCAAGCTACTGTCCCCATGGCTACCTCTCACAGTCACCTTTTCAGCATCTGACTTTGGCATATACATATAAATGTAAATATACAGCATACAATAAACAACGCCATGCACCAGCGCTGACTGAGTGATCAAATGTAGAATATACTAAAAGTCTTCTGGAAACAAATTTATAATCATTTTATTTGAATTGTCAAATCAATTTGTTTGATCATCCAGATTTCAAAATGTTTAAATGAACCACAAAGGAAATGTATATGCCAAATCACTCCATATATGTCAGTGGTGGGTCCTGTTGGGTTTAGAGGTGTTGTGCTCTGATGTGAGTGGAGTGGATACAGCTATCCTCTTTTATCCCACAATGCAACCTTGCATGATTTCATCTTTATGTCCTGCACCACATGAACTTTTATTTTCTGGATGTGAAAGTTGGCTACAAAATGTATCTAATGAATGAAATAACACAGTGCTGTTAAAACAGAAATAAGGCAAAGTGGCTCTAAATTCCCTAAATTGTTCTTAATTGACAACTTACTGCTGTTTAGCAGATATGTTTATCGTATTCACTATCTTAGTTTACTGGTTAGTATGCTATCATTTGCATATTAACATAAGACTTCTTATAAATTAAGATTTTTACCTGACGATGGTGCTAGATGAAAAGTCGGAGCATCACAATATTACAACCTGATTGTGTGTGCTGGATTTAATGGCAGTCCATCCAATAGTTGTTGAAATATTTCATTAAAACCAGAAATGTGAACAACATGCGGATGCTACAGGAAATGGATCACAAAAGTCAGTAGAACAATTAATTCAATAGCTGTTGAAACCTTCCAATCTGAAACAAAGTGGTGGCTTATAATGTGACTCAGTGCAACTTTGCCTTTTTTCTTTAAACATAATGTATGTTCTTGGTTTGTCTTACTAATCAGAGCATTTCATAGTGGGGAATCACTCACCTGGGCACCAAAAGCTTCTGCTACTCTCTGCATGCCTTCTTTTGTGATGGTCTCTGTCTGTTTTACTTTATTTTTGAAGGTATGACTCATGAAGCCATCTCCTTATCCTATAGCAAAAAGACAAATAAATTAGATTTCACTGTAAATCTACAATGGCTTCATTCAGTTAGGCAGCAGTTTGTAACTTTTGTGAACACAGTGTTAAGAATGAGAGCTGTGGAGCTGTAAATACTTGCCTGGCTTAATACCCAAAAGGAATGCAGATGGCATGATCAAATCTAAACCCTGGGAGAGTGTAATCCAGCTGTGTTATGTCACCAACATGAGGCTGGTCTGTAATGTGCATGCTGATGTTGCCCTGCCCAGCATGGCAGAGACTGACTTCATATAGCAGCATGGCCAGAGAATGAGGGATGACAGAATAAAATACAGGGGCCAGATATGTCTGAGAGTGCTGGGCAGATCTGTGGACTGTTTTAACCTTCTAACTGCTGAACTGTATTGAGAAAAAAATAAATGACTTGCATCTTGGCGAGCAGTTCTTTGGCTTGTGCTCCTTACCTTGACGGCTGTATCTATCTTCACAGGGGGACGGAATACATCAGATCAGAGAGGCGCTGAAGATCTTAGCCGAGAGGGTTTTAATCCTTGAGACTATGATCGGTATTCATGGTGAGTAGGAGGCCTGAGGCAGGGTCAGCTTTAGGCTGGGGTCAAAGGTGGGGGGGTGGGGTGGGGGGGGCTCAAACTCCCACCGTACCTCGCTGCTGGGACAGGGAGTGGGAACAGTCGCGAGCATCCCCAGGACTCAGGCTGGTGTTTCCACCCCCCTCACACAGTCCCCCCTGTCACTGCTCTCTGATAGGACATTAGCTTGCAGATGTTCCACGACTTGCAGGCAGACCTTGAGCTTCTGGCTCGCAGGGTGACGCTGCTGGAGGCTATCATCTGGCCAGGTAACGCTGAGACATCCTCACCCACAGCTCTGCCAGGCCCTCACTGACCTTTTTTTGACATCTAGAAAGCGCTGATTGAGTGTTAGAAGCATTAGATTTTCTGATTACCACTTGTGTCTGAACTGCTGAATGTTGATCTAGTCACTGAGGAGTAGATGTCTTTTAGAAATGTATTCTTATGTATGAATTGTGTTGGTTGTAACAATACCAAGATGGTAGTGCAGATATTACTTTAAAGGCCCTGAAAATGTATTTACTCAATCAGCTTCTTACTATGAGAGCTGTGGTCCTACGTGAAACAAAACCTTAACATTATTGGTTATTTCACATGAGATATTTCTGTATTTGTGCATTTTCTTGTGCTCTCCTCACTGGTTTAAAGTGGGTGGGGCTCAGTTGGATTTAGCAACATTTAAATCAAAATCAGATGACAGTTTACTTGTTTTGCGGTGATGTCACCAGCACTGTCAGTCAAATCTGATCAAAACACACCCACGCAGTCCTGCTGAAGCAGATTAGCTGAGTTTTTGAAGGTTAAACTCAACTCAAAAATACCTAAGATTGTTTTTAACTTTAACTGTGATTGTTATTTAGTCATTAAAAAGTAAGATCTGACAGTTTTCAGGGGCTTTAATTTTTTGTATAATAGTCGTGCTTTGTAGGTTAATGGCACCAATGGATGTGAAGTATGTTAGTCCGGCCAGTAGTGCTGCAATGATAAGCCAATAAGACAATTAGTCAAGTTAGAGAAAATAAATCAGCTGCAATTTTGATATTGGATGAACTGTTTAAGTAATTTATGAAGCAAAAATACCAAACAATCACTGGTTTTGGCTTCTTAAAAGCGATGATTTGCTGCTGAATTTGAAGACATTTTATTAAAAATAATAGTATATTTTAATAATTACTAAAATATCATAATAAAATTGACACATTTATTGATAATTGACATAATTGTTGCAGCCCTACTAGCCAGATGCTCCTCCTTTACAGCAGAATCAAGTAAAAAAGGTTAAGTTAAATCCTTTAAACATTCTGTTAGTTGATTTTAACATAAAGAAAAACCCACTCCTGACACCTCCATGTTAGCAGCTACAACCAGAGTAGATTTGGATTAGGACACAGAGTGCAGATGTCCACACACACTGATGGACAGGGAGGCCCCGTTCCAACTGCTGTCTTTCTTCAACAGAGCCTGATCTAGGGTCTGGGGATGAACCGTTTGGCACAGCCTCCCCTAGTTTCTACAGAGATAAGCGAGCAGGTGCGCTTCCATATCGACTTGCTTCTCCTCAGTCCTCCAACACCAAGGTTCGAGGGAAGTAGCCCCCCCACCCCCCTCCGCTCACCCTGAGGATCACAGGCTGGGTTGACTCCCCCTCCTATAGGTCTCATCGGCAACAGATTTAGACCTTATCTGATACCCTCTTTGGGTTTTAAATCAGATTTAGGATGGGGGACACCTCAGGGAAACTCCACTGATACTCCACAATGTCCTCCTCCATCTGGACCTGAGAACTAGTTTGACCCCACCTTCCCCCTCAACCATCACCATAACCAAACACTTAACATAACACACCCAGCAGCTCCTTCTGTGTCTCATTTCTTTGGCTACAGAAGAACTAAAGCCTCAGAATAAGATGTTCATGTTTGAAAAAAAGGAAAATCTGAACCTTCTGTGGTGCTCGTCGAGCTACAAACAGTTCTGGACAATAAGGGTCATTTAGAGTAATCAATTGAAGGAGGAAATCAGATGTGAGGAAATAGACTGGATTTGAGTTTGTATTGCTTTCATAATGTAACTGCAATCTGAAGAGATTCCACTATTTAAGTATATTGCGCATGTACAGTTTGCAGGACACAAGTACACAAACCAACCTCTTCTTCTAGTATTAATTTTGTTATACTTCTATCATATTGTTTAACTCAATGTTATATAGTGCACTAAAAAGATGAAGTCATCTCCACTCAAACTGAGATATGTGTTGCTAACAGTGATTTGTAGTTTTCTGGTGTGAGTGTTTTTCCCCCCATAAAGCGCAGGCTGATAAATAATAGTATATTAACATTTAATCTGTGCAAAAAAAGCACAAATAATTGTATTTGGGTTTGTTATCATTGCATATCATTGAAAACTGTCATGAATTAAAAAAAAAAACATATGAAATAAATACAAAATAAATGTTGACATGAAAACTGCAGACTGTCCATTTCTAGATATTTAACTCACACAAAGGAAACAGCAAAACTGTTAATGGAACTTGAACATATTTTTACCACTGTTGTGTTGGTAAACTGCTTAAACTGTCTGATGAAAAGACTTGATAATTGTTTTTTCATCTTATATCAAACTTATTGTGAAACTATTTAAATCGATCAACTGTAGTTTATTTTGTATGCTGTTGTGTAACCATTTCATATTTCAAACCTCTTTTTTTTCTTGCAAATGTGTCATTGTGTTAAGATAATCCTGTCTAGATGATCGGTGTAATAAAATGATGTTCATTGTTTTTTAAACATGTCACCTCTCTTCATTTGTGTTACAACAGTATTTATTAAACATGATTACAATAAATGACATCCTCTCTCTCTCTCTCCGATGTACATTTCATGATACAGAAACTGCCCCCAAAGCAGTCAATTTTGCATCTACACTTGGTTAGTCTGGAAAAAGAGCAACTCAAGTCTTTCCTGCCACTTTTCCCACAGGAATTGTGATCATTAAAATAGCTCTACAAGTAGCCCATAGGGAAAATCTAATATTAAAGCTCAGCAAAACCCAAGCATAATGTATGTCCAGTATAGTGCACAAAAGCAAACACTGTCTCAGTCCAGGAGAGGAAGCTCATCTAGGTGCTCTGCGGTGGCGGAGGGCTCTTTCCTTTCGACACCACCACAGTCTGTTCTCCGACGCTGTCGTCAATGAGCAGAGAAATGGCGCCATCTAGCTGTTTAGAGGCCGCTAGTGCTACTACAGCTTTCTCTGTGGGGAAGCCCATCCTCTCCAGCTGCTGGAGTCTGGGAGGAAAAATGTTGGAAACTGTGAATGAGTTCCTGATATATAATAAAACCTATATGGGAAATCATGTGCAGAGTTTTAAGTTAAAAAAAACCCCCAAACATATCCACCCATTCACAGAAAATACAATATGACATTAGATTATTACTAACCGCAGAGAGGAAACTGATGATTTGGACACCTCCACTTTTGCACTGGGGTCGTCAGGAGCATCCTGTAACGACGCCAGTATCCCTGCCCTTAGCATTTGTTCCTCCAACACCTCGGCCTCAGACTGTGCAGCAGACTCTCTTATTATCCAGGCAGGCACTGGATCCACCCACTGGTGGTGGTTTAAAGCAGCGGGATCCCTCATGGGGGCAGCAGCTGCCTGATCTACAGGCATTCTCTGAGGAGGTGAACTAGATCTGTGACAACAGATGAAGCTAAAATTATGAAATCTGTCACTGTCATGCATGCAGGTGGTAAGTTTGAATATTCAGTGAGACTTGAAATAAGATGAATCACACCTCTGTGAGGTAGTGTGGGTGGGCAATCTGAACCGGGCTGAAGTAGGAACATATGCCCAATCAGGGATAAAATCCAAGACCCTCGTCTCCTCCAGCTCCTGTAACGTCCCAATGAAGGGCTGATTATCTGAGAGGTATATTAAGTGTTATTTTTTAAAACAAAAGACTTAAGCATTGTGTTATTTATAAGGAAATACACTTTATTATAGATTTGGTGGGGGGAGACTATGGGTCAGCTAGATTATTACATTTTAAATGTTGTGATTTTTGCCTGAAGGCCTAAAATGAAAAAATACTGATTAAATACAGCAAAAAAGGGACCACTGCTCCAAGTTGCAATAACATGTGTTGCCTTTTAACAGCCCAGCACACTTTACAAAGGCGTTCTCAATGACTGTGGCTGATTAGACATTAGAAGTTAGACTGAAGCTGAGCAGCTCAGAATTACATAATGTCACTAGTTTCTATGTACTAATGAGAATGAAAAAGGTGTTAGTTGTCTTAAAGCCTTAAAGTTCAACAACACTAACGGGAAAGTGAGATATATGTAAGGTTAGCGCACACCGTAACAGTCCTCTGTAGGTCTAATCAAGCAAAATAAATACAACCTCTGTGTGGGTTAACAATGGGTGTTTAGGGGGCATCAAAACTAAGATACACTCACATTTGCTTTTGTTGGAGAATGTGTTTTTGTACATGCATCAAATGACTGTGTACACAGGGAAGGATACAGTTGTGTCCGATGCATATTGCGCAGAAGTGAAGCAGGGCAGGTGTCCCGGGCAGCAGCAGCAGACCAATCAGCAGAAGAAGCCAGGGGAGAAACCAGACTGGCAAACACCTCAGCAGCCTCCTCTGTGTCACCTGACGACACTGCGCTGTGAACAGAGCCAGCTGGATGGCAGAGTAACCACTGATCCGACTTGCCTCGCCTCCACCGACAAAGAGGACCAGGGTGTAAATGAGAGGTAATATGGTCATTGTCAGGATGGAGAGGGCGAGGAAGGCGACTGTCCCCCAGCGACGCTCCTGACACCGTCCAACCAGCAGCAGGAGAGCCACACTGACCAGCAGAGAGGGCAGCTCATCATGACTGAAAGCATACAGGAACACATCTGAGGGGGGGGAGAGAAAAATGCATTATGTACACTAAAATATCCCATTTTTACACGTAAAGCCATGCATTGTAAAGCACAGTTACCTCTGACCCTTGGGAAGTCTCCACCTGGACCTATGCTGAGACTTGCCTGTATGCTCCCAGTGTACAACAGCAGCATGAGGGTTATCAATAAAGATGTTCCCAGACAGAAGCCAGGGCGATCTGATCGAAACCAAAACCATCCTGACAATATACGATCAAGCATTATTTAGGATTATCTGTAGTTTCCACACTCACTTGTCCTTTTGCTGCATAATTATGGTAAACAAGCATCTGTTTGTGCTCCTAACAAGCACAACGACAGGTATATAACCCTGTTCTGACTATATTAAGAGTGGGAGCAGGGGTAGTGAGTGGCTGCAAAATCCCCTATGAGTTTAACTGCTGTTGTAAAATCACTATGCCCTTAATTTTCGAGAAATAAACGTGTTTATTTAAGACAAATCCCGGCGTGAAAACATTTAGAGCTCAGTGGACGTCTACTTCCGCAAGTCAAGTCGTCTTACTCGGTGTGTTTACTGGTAGTTGGAAAACTGTAGAGCAGCTTCAGCGCCACCTGCTGGACAGACTGCCAGCTTACATTTAACCAGAGGTGGACAAAACAATACATTTCTAACAATACTGATATTATTTATTACTTATTTCTTTAAGTAATTTATTCTGCTAGATTTATGCTTTATATGTTAGTAAATTTAATATGTTTGGGTTTAGGACGGTTGGTCACACAAAAAAAAGCAACATGAAGATATAAACTTTTGGTTCTTGTGGTGGGCATAACTCTTAATTTTCCAGAGATGGAAGAAGTATCAAAATAAAAAAGTATTAATACCACACTGTCAAAATATTCCACTACGGGTAAAAATTCTGTATTAATAGTACAATTTATGCAAAAGAAACAGAAAGTGAATGCAAAACTATTTGTCCTGCAGAAAAAACTATATATATCTATCTATATATAAATTAAATTATTAGATTGTTAGGTTTTTGTTTGGTAGTTTAGTCCAGTGATTCTCAACATAGGAGTCAGTGGGTCTCCAGATAAAGTATAACAAGGGTTGTGAGATGATTGAAAATGTCTCTAATGTTTCCTCCTGTTTAATCTTTTACAATGCATTGTATTTCACCAGTTTATATGTCTTTTTAATGTAAAATCTTTATCTGAAAAGTAACTCTAACGGCCACATAAATGTATACGAGTAAAACCAATATTTCCCTGTAGATGGAGATAGATAGATGGATACTTTATTTATCCCGAGGGAAATTCAAGTACCCGGTGTAAGTAAAGAACAGTAGTTCAACCTCAAAACTGTACAGAAGTGTGGTACTAGTGTGTAAATCTACATCTATACTTTCCACCACTGATATTTTCTAATAATCTAGGGGACTCTCAGTTGAATGTTGTCATCCTGAGTGTGCCTAAAACTAAGCGGAAGCTCAGAGGGGACCGTGCCTTTGCTGTGTCTGCTCCTAAATTATGGAATGATCTGCCTCTGCACATTAAACAGGCCTCTTCTCTGTCTGTTTTTAAAACCAGTCTTAAAACCCATCTCTTCTCTGTGGCCTTTGACACCTAGTAAGATGTCGACTTTTATTTATTTACTTAATTTATTTTTTGTATATGTTATTTTTACTTTTTGATTGCTTGTTATTGCATGGTTATTACTTTTATTTATGTCTTTTCATTTTATTGTTGTATTATACGTTATTTTGCGCCTCATGTGAGCTGTTTTGTCTTTTATTTATGATGTCTTATTTATTCTCCTGTACAGCACTTTGGTCAACTTTGGTTGTTTTAAACTGCTTAACAAATAAAGTTTCTATATAATTAATTGAACCCTCCCCCCTCCTTCTGGTGATCTTCTCCTTCTGGCCCCTTTAAGCCTTTATGCATTAATAAATGTCTCCTCTAACAGGCAGACTAAGTCAACTCTAATTGTAATGAACAACCTTTCAGGACCTCTATCACCGTTCAAAACGAGGTCACGTACATCTCGCGAGATTTTGAGTTCCCGGTGAAGAGAAGTACGTTCGTCCAGCAGCCAGCTCGGTCCAGTCGTCTTGCACGCACAGACACACTAAAATGGCGTCGGCTCCTGGTGAGTGGGAGAATTGTGAACTTTTATGCTGATTCTGGGGGAAATGTGTGTTATCTAACTCGAGTAATGAAGTGATTGGATTTATTTAAACCGAGAGCGTGTCGGCGGTAATCCGTGTTTCCGGTTGATAGAGTAACATCATCGAATGTCGGTTAGCGTTAGCTAGCGGCTATGAACAAGGCCTAGTCACGTTAGCTCATCGACTCGTTGTTATTTTTTTTTTTTTATTTTTTACCGGATTAATTTACTACTACTGCAACCCGAGGTCGAAAATAAACGCCAGATTACCAATTTTACTATCATTGTGTTTTTTTTTAAATAAACACGTGTTTAAATTCCTACATTTCGCGGTTATTTTTGCGGCATCGTCGTGTTTTATGAATGGTTTCAGCGAGTGACCGTTGTGTAGTTGAATGACGAGCTAACGACGGATCGCTGCTGGCGCGCAAAAGGCTGTGCGGTCATTAATCGACTTTTAACCCTTTTTTTTTCTTCTTTTTAACAGATTACAGCTCCTACAGTCAAACCAGCACCCAGCCAGGGTAAGAGTCTCCACTTAACTCACTAATGTTATTGGAGGTAATGGTTTTAAATAATGCTATCGATTAAGCATCAGTGTTGCTGCTGAGATAAAGGAATCGAGCAGTGATCAATATATGGTTCCTGAGAAATATCCAAGTGTTTATTGAGGAAATGTGTTTGAATCTGATTATTTATAATATGCAATACATGTAGGTGGGTTTCAAGAAGGCTTATAAACTACAATCCAGACAAACATTGGTAAACAAAGGGTGCACCACATGTCCCAGAGATTGTTTGGCTAAAACATTGATTTTTTTGTTTTTACAGGTATGCCTCTTACGCTGCCCAGCCCTCTCAAAGCTATGGACAGTCTGCACAGGTGAGATTTAACATGGAGGGTAGTTGTTTGATTGTTGTAGAGTGCTTTGTGATGGACCAGTGATTTAAAGAGATTGTGATCTTTATCATTTCAACTTCACAACTGATTTTAAAATACTGCATTTGTTAATTCAAATATAGAAACATAAATTTAATCACACATTGCGCTTGCAACATTGAGGTGATTTTAAGTCTAATCCAAACATAAGTTGGTCCATTACAGCAAACCTTGTCACTATAGTCTTATTAAGGCAGTTAAGCCATATGGGTAAACAGATCAATACCCATGTTTAATGAGTTTTAAAGCATAATATAATTACTGAAGCTTAAAAAACATGTTTTATTCTTTCAGCAGGGCTATAGTCAGCAGAATTACGGATCATATGCCCAACCTGCTGCAGCTGACGGCACTTACACCCAGACAACACCTGCTGCTGGAGGATACCCTCAGCAGCAGCAACAACAGTATGGGTCTTCATATGCCCAACCAGCATCAGGTCAGTTGATAAAACTGGGACGTTTGGCTCAGACTACACACCCTGGGCCGGGGGTGGACAGCACAAAATTGGGCAAAACAGCTGTGTACTTGTCAACATGTCATTTGAAGGCAATTATGCCTGATCATTTGAATGTGACCTTTTCCCTGATTTCTTTTTCTACAGCTGGCTACCCCGCCGCCCAGTCTACCACTCATAGCTACTCCCAGTCAACCCAGGGCTATGGAGCCAGTGGTTATGACAGTACTCCAGCTGCTGCTGCTCCAGCTGCCTCCCAGTCTTACGGTTCTCAGCCAGGATATACTGCCCAGTCTGCATACCCTGGATATGGCCAGCAGGCTGCTCCCACTGCGCCACAGAGGTATGTACGCCTCAGCTAGAAACCAAATAACAAGTGAATCTAAAAGAACCTACTTATCTTTTTGTCTTTCTTTGTTTTTATCAGTTACAATGCTAGCAGCCAGCCGACAAGTTACAACCAAAGTAGCTACTCCCAGCCAGCAGCATATGGCCAGCAACAGCCTGGCTACCAGGCCCAGCAGGCCAGCTATGGCCAGCAGCAGGGGTACCAGCAACCAACCCAGCAGCAGCAACAGGCTCCTCCTGCTTACCCTCCTCAGGCTGCTGGTTCCTATGGGCAGCCTCCATCCAACCAGTACAGCCAGCAAGGTGGACCACCCAGTTACAACCAGTCTAACCATTACAGTAAGCTTTGCTTAACTGCTGTATTTTAATCTGCATTCATGTAGTTCAGTTTAATATCACTGTTAACATACTTTCATCTCATTTCATGCTTTTGTAGATAATTACAGACAGGATGGCCAGAGCGGAGGTTCTGGTTACTCTGGCTCTGATTCTTCAAGGTACCCAGGGACCGGGGATAGCAGAGGCCCTGGCAGGGACGGCTTTGATCGAGGTGGAATGATGCATCGTGGACGTGGAGGCATGGGCCGTGGCATGGGGTAAGTGTCTTTCTTTAGCACTTAACCTCATTTTATTTTGACTCTACAGGTGCTGTGGCCACTTGGGGCAGGGCTGAGACGCGTCTCAATCAGAAATCATTGGAATAATCAAAAGCAATACACCAGCAATCTAGCAACTTTATTCTCTTATAATATGGGGCGTCATGATTTATCAGCAATCAGTGCTGATGAATTATGTGCTCTGATAATGCCTGAAGCCCACGATGGAAGGTGTAATAAATGCCAACATTGGCAGCAGTTGTAGCTATTCTCATCCAGTTAATCTCAGCCCTGCCTCTCATTTGGCCAAAGGTAAGAAAAAGGTTTGTCCTTTCTATATTAAAAAAAATCTGAGACCTGTGCATAAACATTTAGGTTGAACAGCTTATGTTATGTTATAATAACGTAATTATGAGCCAATACCAAAAAGTTAAACTAAGAGGTTGCATATTTTTGGTCAGGGAATGTAATATAATCGTATTGCAACACTATCTTACCTACATATTATCAAAACTATAGTGGGGTTTCCTTAAGGAAGGTTCAAGTACTGTCTCACTATCTTAGCAACAAATACGTTTTTTGCTATGGTGCATCATTCTCTGTAGGGTGACACACTTACAGTTTCTACAAGAAGAATGCAATTAGAAGTTGGATAAATTCTGCAGTTTTTTTTTTCCAGTTGTCATGCTGTAACTTAAAGTTTTAGTGTGTTCTGCAAGATCTTTATAACACAGCATTGATATTAAGGAACTTCTAAATAGACACTGGCCTCGTGCAGTACATCCTGTCGCATTTCAAATGCATTCATACTCAAGTCCAGTATTTGGGTCAATATATTTCCTCTTGAGGTTTTTTGCCTTTTTTTTTTCTTGGGTTTTTTTCAGTTTGTGGTTGGTTTTAAGTATAATGTCGTCATTTGACTGGAAGAAGTAATACCAAAAAGGAAAGATGGCGCCATAGACGGTTAAAAAGCTAATGGTACTGCAAGATCTCAGTAATAACTTGCATCAGCTACAGGGAGACAAGACAATGAGGAGCTGTTTTCAACTTTCTCTAGCTCTAACATTGCTCCTAAAAGAGCAGAGTTGATCACTTAATGCCATCTGTTGTATTAAAATAAGTTGTTGGATCTCTTTAAAGGGTTTTTGTGTTTGACATTTCAATATCCATCTAAGCTATAAAAAATCTTCAGTGAAAACTGAGAACTTGCATTAAGGTCAAAACACATTCAGAGCAAATTCAATACAAGTCATTCCTCATTTCCAAACTGTTTTTATTTGAGTTTTCTGGTGTCACACCTTCATGATAAAGTTAGAGGAAAAGAAAACGGGTCTAGTGATGTTACAAGACATGGGACAACAGGAACGTGTACATCGACATACTTCCCCCCTCACTTATATATAAATATATTTTAGGAGGCTTGTGTTAGTGTAGATACACTAAGACAATATAGAGGATAAAGCCTGTGGAATTTGGTGTAGGGTGGTCTAATCTCGGCTCGGCTACAAAAACTGGTCTTCAGGTGTATTATGCTTTTTTTTTTTTTGTATCGCATGTCTTGTGTACATGTTTATTCCTCACGATAAAGAAATCCGAACTCAGTTGAGCGTGTCCCTGACACATTTGCTCTGGTACGTTCATCAAATTTGCTCTTGGTGCAATTTGGGTTTTTGAACTGTTAGTGCCAATTGTCTACTGTTCTGAAGCTGGAAATGGTTTGACCCAACCCCAAATCAGAAACTGACAATCAGCTCCCCTGCAAAGGAATTGAAATGGTTACCAAGAGAAAGGTCAGGGGTATTCAGGTGAACAGAGGTTGTACTAAATATTTGTTTTTGGTTTAGATGGACTATCATGGCTGTAAAATTAAAAGATGAAACAGTTGAATCAGCAAATTTGGTTTCTCAAACACAACACAGGCACCTTTCAATATAAATCTTGATGACATGACGGTCTTCATCTTTAGGATTTGGTTTTGGAAATTAGATTATTTTTTTTAAAGATTCTTAAATCAATTTTCGGTCAGAAATGACTCAATCATTTCAGGTGGTCTTTTTTTAAATATTTATTCCAACGACAGTGTCGCCTTTTTTGGTTCACCAGTGTAAACCTTCTTTAAAATAGTTCTGCATGACTTGGTTCTTGTTTTTGGTGCAGCGAATACACATACACAGTTTTAGGCGGTACAGGTCTTTAATCAAGAAACTCTGCAGTCTTTCCAAAGAACTTACAAAGAATGCATAAAATCAGAATAAATAGGAACACAACCCTATATATTTATAGCTCAGATGTAGGATATGATTTTATAGTTAAAATGTTAATTTTAGCCTAATTTTAGTTTTGCACAGGTATATTTGTCTGTTTGGGGGGAGGTGGGGCAGGGGGGCTTGCACTTTGTCATTTTGAAATGTTTAATTGTTTTTGTGGTTTGGAATACAAATGTTTGATCACATTCTTTTGACCACTTTTTAACATGCTTTGTCACATTTATACCGTACAGGTAACAGTGAGAGCCATTTAAAACCATCTATTCTCTAAAAAGTATCTGTACTCAGTACAGATCCGCCAGCTTAAGCAGCAGGAGGGAGCTTAAACAAAGATTCGGGGGTCTGCCTTTTTTCAAGAACTGAGGATGGTGTTTTTTTTAAAAGCATGATGGGTATATTAATACACAAAGTCTTTGTTTTTAAGTTAACATAACCCTGGTAAACATTGTAAAATTTTTCTTTTTGGTGTTGATTTGTCTTGACCAATGTATAATTGTTTTTTTTTCTATTTGTTTATTACCTGGTGAATGTGATCACTTGATCATCTTGTGAAATTTCAGATGCATTGTCTATTTTTAAGCGTATACACATAAAATTGAGCTGTAACTCTTGCTAGAACTAATGTTAATGGGGTGTTTTATTGTTTCTGGGTAAAACTTTGTAGCCATCAATGCATCTGAAATCTTTCTACTAATGTACAAATGTTTGGGTTGTGTCACATTTCAAAGGCAGTGAAAAATATGTTAGTCATTCATATTTTTGCACAAATGTATCCACTACTGCAAACTGTCACTAAAGTTGTACTCAGCTAGTTAAAGAATGGCACATAGCTAATACTCTTATCCCCTCGATTAGATTGTGTATTTATAATTTTGGGGAGTTTTTAGTTGCTGTTCGGCTAGTTGGAATGTTTTGATTACTCCCTCAATCAAGCCACTTTGCTCGAGCCATGGAAGTGGCTGTAAAAGGGAAATCGCCTTCATATCTTCATTTATTCCCCCATAGCAGCGCTGGAGACAGAGGTGGCTTCAGTAAGCCTGGTGGTAAGTTAACGAGTATTACACTGGTTAGTCCTTTCAAAGCCTTAAACTTTTTGAGCAAATATGCTTTGAGCATTGATGTGTCTTTACATTGTGGTATGAAAAAAATTTACATGAACACATCTGAAAATATTGGGGAATCTTTTTTCAATGCCTGAGACCATTTTCTCTGGGGTACTTGGTATAATTCAGTCTCTGCTTATGGTTTGACAATGAGTTTTTGACAGGTTAATGGCAAATTTCCACACAACTGTCTGATATTGCTTTAACAAATCTCTTGACCTGAATTCCTGGGTTTTTTTGAGGATTTCTTACTGGTCTTAGAGGCTTTTACACAATTATTTGCCAAAGGGTCTGAGGTTTCAATTTTCAATTCAATATATCACTTGTCGGAATTGTGGTGTACCATAAGGTGCCATTTTCAACTTCCCAGTATGACTGACAGCGTTTATAAGGGAGTGTCTGTATTATCTTTTGTAGTACTCCTCAGGTGTTGTACACTGAACTTCAGTTGCACACACTGACTTTTCCCAATCTATTTCTCTCCTCCTGCACTGATGGACTACAGGACCTATGGGCAGTGACGAGCGTGATATAGGTGAGTAGAGTCACACTACTCGATGCTTTTCCTGAAGTGTTATTAGGAAAGCTTGTATTTTTACATAATATTGTTTTTATGTGTGTTTTAGGACGCCCTGAAGAGCAGGATGACTCTGAGAACAGCACGATCTACATCACAGGATTGACCGAGAAGGCTAACCTGGAGGAGATGGCGGAATTCTTTAAACATGTTGGCCCAATCAGGGTAAGAAATAGGTCTTCACTCTAAATGTTGGAATAAATAAAACGTATGTGGAAGCTTAACAAAATGTAATTCTCTTTGTGTGTCCAGATTAACCGCAGACTTGGCCAGCCTGCTATTAACATATACACAGACAAGGACACAGGAAAGCCCAAGGGAGATGCCACCCTCTCCTATGAGGAGCCAATCTGTGCCAAAGCAGCCGTGGAGCATTTTGATGGTACGTTTGACTGTGCACGTCAGACCTGAACCGACTCTCATAAATAAATACACAATGAACTAATATAACATGTGAATGTTGTTGTATTTTTAATTGTAGGAAAGGAGTTCCAAGGCCGAAGGCTTAAGGTATCCATGGCACGCCGTAAGCCCATGATGGGTGGAATGAGAGGTGGCATGCCCATGCGAGATGGCATGATGGGTCGTGGAGGTAAATGTCAGCAGTATTTTAGTGTTGTACTATTTAAGGGCATTTTCACACTGTACTGCACAAGAAACCAATTGTCTAAAATGTTGAAATACTGGCTGCTGCGGTCTCTTGCTTGAGATATTAAACTTGCCGAACCGATATACCCTGTAGCATACGGATGATTGTCACTAAACTAGTTGCTGGAGACAGCTGGAAAAATATAAAGACGGTGGGTCATATGATTTTTTAAAATTCTGTAATTTCCTTGTGTAACCAGGTATGATGGGTCGTGGGGGAGACCGTGGTGGCTTTGGCCCACGAGGTGGTCCACGTGGTATGGGCAGAGGTGGACCCACAGGAGGCAACATGCAGCAGAGGGCTGGGGACTGGGAGTGTCCTAACCCGTATGTATTACTACTTAGTGCAGAGTTTTTTTTTGTTTTGTTTTGACGCCTCCTTTTGTTTGAAAGATTAGTTTCTAATGTATTTAATGGTCTGTTCCCAGGGGTTGTGGCAACCAGAACTTTGCCTGGAGGATGGAGTGTAACCAGTGCAAAGCCCCCAAACCAGAAGGGTTAGGTGGTGGCCCCCCATTTCCCCCTGGAGGTGATCGTGGCAGAGGTGGAATGGGAATGCGTGGAGGCAGAGGTATGGACCGCGGTGGGCCGGCGGGAGCTGGAGGCCCAGGTGGCCCTGGAGGTTTCCGTGGAGGCTGGGGAGGCGACCGTGGCGGATTCAGAGGACGCGGTGGAATGGATAGGGGAGGTTTCCGTGGGGCTGGGCGTGGAGGACCACCCATGGACCGAATGGGTGGCAGAGGCGGAAGAGGAATGGGCCCACCAGGTGGCAAGATGGATATGAGGTAGGATGTTCTATCGCTGTTTCCATTGAGTATTTCAAAGACTGCTAAACATAATTGCATTGAAAAAGCAAATTAATGTAAACCTGTGATATTGGTGTGAAATACAAACAATATTTATAATATTCAGATCTGTCACTCAGTACTCTTCTGTTCTCTTGCTCCCCTTTTAGGGACCATCGCCAGGAGCGCAGGGAACGACCCTACTGAAGAACTTATTGACCGTTCCTCTTGTGGAATTTCATTTTTAAGACGAGAATTTTTAATTTATGATTCCATATTTTGATGGTAATAGAACTGCTTTCAAACATCTTGTGCAGTTTCGTTCAACTCGTGTTTCCATTTATTTTTTTTTTATTTTAGTTTACCCATGTTTATGCTCCTTATTGTATTGTGCACGTTTTTCTTTGTTGCTTTTTTAAATATGCAGATAGGTTTGACATTGTATCGTAACATTTTTCATTCGTTAGCATAATTGCCTCCCCCTTTCCCACAGCTGACAATTGTATGATTATAAATTTGGGAAATAAAATTTTACTGATTTGATGTTTTTGAGTTTGAGGGCTTTACTGAACATTACAAAATGAACAAAGGAAAAGGTCTAACAGATATTAATACATGCTCTTTGAAAGTTGTGTTAGCACAGAATGAATTGGGGTTCACAACATTGGTTGTTTTTGTCCAGTGGTTGCCTGTGTTCTGCAGCTGAAGGTGTGTTAGATGGGTTGTTTAAGGAAATGGTCATTTCAGCTGCAAGTTATAACAGATTTAAATAATTAAAGTTATCACCAAATGATGAATTAACAAGTTAATGTAGTAATGAGAAATGGATTAAGATAAAATAGTGTGGTGCAATTCAGTGTTTGTACAGAGAAAACAGTAAAAAGTGAAGCTGTGAACAGTTTATAGATACTGTAGCTGGTGAAGAGGAGCTGCTCAGTTTCATAAGTCACATGCATTCCAGTTTTTAGATGAATACAGTCACTACCCTGTCACATGACTTGGTCAAATGGATACTGGTTCCACCACAGATAATGATTATGACATTCTTTGGATTGCCACTTGCAAGTTTATGGCAAAGCTGCCTAAGAAATGATTTCTGTATTCTTATTACTATATCCTGAGGAGCAATAATGTAATTGCAACTGCCTGCAATGTCCTTAGCCTCAGAGCTGACCTCTACTTTATTGTTTAATATTTCTTCTGTTTGTTGCCTGTAACTGGAGCGTATCTGCAGGTCTGAAGGGTTGCTGCTGTTATTTTACTTGTCATTAGGTGGCGCAGGTTAGACTGAAACCTCTGGTGCTGCAGTTGTGACTCAAGATACTGGCTGGGCCTGGTTTCTAGTGCTTTACATCAATGACTGTCTCCTTGTTCACACAAAAGACTGAAGGATACAAGCCTTTTCTTGTGAATGATATTTAGTTTAACTCTTCATATTTAAGTTATTCTTAACAAAATTTCAGTAACTTTATTTTCTGTCTTTAATGACTTACTGTGTTATAGCTTACAGTTATAAAATTGTCAGACTTTGACAACACAAGACAAGGATTTTGTCATTACACTGGCGTCACCTCTGAGCTGGAGAAAAGTACCTTTGTTCTAGACGTAAGAAATACCGTGAATGTTTTTCTTCTCTTTTTCCTCAAAGTTTCCCATTTTAACTGCATTCATTGAGCGGCATTCCCTATAAGGCCATCACGTTAGATTAAGCACTGTTATAAATCACAGATGTCAATCCTTGGCACATTTTATTTCTAACATCTGGCAAACATATGGCTATTAAGACCATCCTACAGCTCTTTGATGCTTTCTTCCAATACACCTATTGGGTTACCACTGGGTAATCCTGCCTGTAGGATGCAGTCAAACTCATTTGGTGAGACAGTGTGTTACATCCTTGTGGTATTATCTATTTAGCAGTTATTGTTTGTGTACAAATTTCTTCTTAAGCTTTTATATTTCCACTTTGTTGTGGCAAAAATGCAGGCGGTGAGCACATCTGTGTTTCTATATATGTCTGGGGAAAGAAAAACCCCATTGAAAATACAGCAGCTGGCTTTCTTTCAGAGCACCAAAGTTTAACTCCTGTCACAAAATGTTTTCCAACTCCAGGATGTCTGTCCCAGTAGGTCATTCTACCTCCACTCTGACAGCTCGCAGGTTTCTATGTGGTCTGACCTCACACTCTCGTTACTGATGCGATACCGTAATCGAGGTTAATGTCTGTGTGGGTTTTTTTAACTTCAGGCCCTCCTTAAATTAACCCTTGGGGAAACCCTGTCACAGCTGACATCTTGAAATGCTACTCATTTGCTGTGGCCAGTTGTTCGTGTGGATTAATAGAGTGAATTCTCTCCCTCTTTCTTTCTCTCTCTCTCTTTACTGAAAGAAAAGCTGATTCATCCAGGCCCAGAAAATGATCTCATCAACCCCCACCTTCTCCCTCTTTCTCTCTCTCTCTCTCTCTCTCTCTCTCTCTCTCTCTCTCTCTCTCTCTTCCGCCCCCTCCCTTCCTTTCTTTCTCTCTTTCTCTGTCTCCTTCTTAAACAGACACATCCCTCTTTTTTAAATGAAAACAAGCCCTCCTTCTTGGCAGTGGGCTCTTCGCTTAAATTCAAACAATCACACATTAAGGAGAGCACTGTGCCGCTCCAATAGAGGAGAGCCCACGCTTCTTTAAAAGATTGTTAAAGGGGAAACTGAGATGGTGGAAAATATTTTTTTTAAAGGCCCAGTTGGACGTTTTTGAACCTATAATTCCACGTACATTTAAGAGTTAAACCTGTAGATGGAAAATAAGGATTTCTGCAACAACTTTCAGAATAAGAACACACATAGAAGTAGTTGATATAATATTATAAACAAGTTGTAACAGCATAAGACAAACTGTAGTTGGGTTTGTATTAAAATAGTCATAGTTTCTAATCCTCTGCTTAAAGTTATGGTTTTCCCTTTTGTCTTTCAAGCTGGTTTCCCTCAACACAATTGGTGTGGCCTGAAAATCAGGTCTCTTGCACCAAAGTTTGACCCAAGTTTCAAACCTCATTTGAGTTGTAGACCCATCAGCCCCTTAACAGCATCAAATAGTAAAAATAGTGTCTGTGATTCTCATTCTGGCCTTTGATATTTTTTAGATGCAGCAGAAGAAGGAGAGAAATGTTAAGTAACAGCAAAGTTGTCTTGACTTACTAAGGGACCCCCAAAAAGTAGTCCTCTGTCCCGCACTAACAGCAGCCCTGTTATCTAGTAATCTATGTGACAAATGCACATTTTCTATCGTCCACACAGTAGATCATGTGCTGGCTACTTTGTCTTGAACTCTGTTTACAGCCTGTTTAACTAGAGTGGAGGACACTGTCCATTCAATGTACATCTCTCACTATCTCCCTTTATAATCCCCAATCTCCTGCTATCTCAGGGCTTTACAAAGCTCTGTCCTCCCAGGTGTGGCTTTTTTTTTTGATTTGTACAAACCAATAATCACATGTCCGTTACAAAAACGTTCAAGAGGTTTAGACAAAGGCTGTTAAAGCTTAACTAACCCAACAGAGGTTCCTCATTTGATCCTTTAGCCATTGATAAGATACAGTTAAGAGGGAATTTCTTGCTCTAAGCAGAGTTTCTGTCTCATGACGCTGAAATACAGGCTTTATTGGCCTCCATCCCCTTAGGCTGTTGGGCGAAGAGACCACACAAAGGCTTCATTATTGAGATACAATGTAGCCCGCTTACTGTACGTGTTAACCTTAGTCAAAAATTATAAAAGGAGCTGTCTATTTGTCTCACAGTGGAATAAACAGCCTGAACACCATACAGATGAATCAATACACCAGAAATTGAGCAAAATAAGATTAAATTATATGCCTGGCATTTGTACCGGTACTTAAATACAAATTTAAAGTTGTACTAAAGGGGGAATGTCTGCTACATGTATTTGACAGCTGCAGTTGGTTTGAATTCAAATAAAACAGGATACACACGTTGTTGTAGGTGAAACCACAGCATAGCCTACATTAATTAGTCACTGTTGCTTGACTTTGGTGAGCATGGGGTTAAGTTTTCCTGCTCTGCCCGGGCGTTGATCCCTCATAATGGGATGTGCCACCGAGTCGCTCTGCTGGTCTAAGCTACAGCAGGTCAACATATTCAGTGCGAGAGGCGGGCCCTATCTGCGGGGAAGATGAGCTGTGGACTCCTGAGTGCTGCTCACTGGTCGTGATTTCACCGATGCGGAGCTGAGCGGACACACAGACATGGTGACACGTGGATTTTTGCGGGCGAGAGGACCCACCGGCCACCGGGTGGTGGATTAACGGAGTCGTCGCATGGGTGTGTATCGGCGTCCCGGACTGCACCCGCTTTTCATTCTCGCTCCGGGACCCGGCGATGCGCTCTTTAAAGGAAACGGGTTTCGCAGAGAGATACGGAAAACGCATCCATGCGCCACGGCTACCCCGCATCCAGATATGCCTCTGACAACACAAAGCCTGGTATCAAGGAGCCCCGACATGCAAACCGGCATGGGTGCGTCAACGCGGTTATTTCGCTACATTACGCGGATGAGGCTTCGGAGCGCAGTTGTGCAATGAGACAATCGGGAATTATCAAGTAGACTTTATTGATAGGCTACAGAATCCGACAATATGGCTGATCAGAGCAACATCCAGTCCGCCGCCTCCAAGAGTATCCGGCCTTTTAAATCTAGCGAGGAATACCTGTATGCAATGAAGGAGGATCTGGCTGAATGGCTGAACACCCTGTACGACCTAGATATCACTGCGGACACCTTTATGGATGGGCTGGGGACGGGCTGTGCCCTCTGTCGGCACGCCAACAACGTGAACCGAGCCGCGCAGGACTTCCAGCTGGAGTACCCGGAGGCTGCACAGTCCATGAAGGTGCCATCTAAAGATGTGGTCTTTCAGTCACGCAACGTTGTCCCTGGCTCATTCCTGGCGCGGGATAATGTGTCCAATTTCATCACCTGGTGCAGGCAGGAGCTCTGGATCAAGGATGTCCTCATGTTTGAGACCAACGACTTGGTGGAGAGATGCAACGAGAAGAATTTTGTGTTGTGTCTCCTGGAGGTGGCCCGACGTGGGTCCAAGTTTGGCATGTTGGCCCCCATGTTGATCCAGCTGGAGGAGGAGATCGAAGAGGAGATCCGGGATCAGGAGAGCCTGCGGATCGATGTGGGGGAGCCAGCTGAGCAGAGCCCGCCCAGCAGGTGTTTCAGTCGGAAGGAGAGCAGCCACAGTGTGGAGGATGAGGATGAACCTGATCCAGAGCCCTTCATCTGGCAGCCGAAGAGAGTTTTATGTGACATGCGAAATTTGGATGAGTTGGTGAGTTAAAAAGATAAAAACAGAAACCACTGTATGTATTAATAACTTGATTTACCCTGAATAACATTAGCTGACTCATTAGAAACCCAAGATGTGTCATAACTGCATTACTATGCTCATGCAGGTCATAACAGACTAGTGTAATCGTATTTCCACACAATTTAATCATCACTGGTCATAATGTGTGAAACAGTAAAA